AGATTATTGTGGGAATCATTCAGTATCTGAGACTAAATGAAAACTAAAACAGCACATAAATCAATGCTGACTTAAAATATCTGCGTCTTTATTACTAATATAAATCCCAATATGTAAAATAATAAATTCACTCGTTTTCAAAACGATGCATTTCATATTTTCTTCCACCTCTAATGTTCTCACTCCTGAATGTTCTCTGTTCTTTTGTTCTCTCCAATAATGTCACATTCCTATTTTCCCCACTCTTCTCTTGTTCTTTTATATTCTCCCTTTCTTTTTCTGTTTTAAATCTTTGTTTTCATATATATCTCATTCTTTTTTTTTTACTGTTTGTACTATTTGTGTGCTCTTTTACTTTGATTCACTTCGTTTCACCTCCAACTTTTTGTACCTTCTCTCGTACCAACAGACAGCCACACCCCTCTCTCCTCACTCATTTCTCCCCTCAGTCCTCCTCTCTGCACCGTTACCTCACACTTTCGTTCCTAAACAGCTCAACTGAAATTCATCGTGTTGCATCTGACTGTCCCCACATGCATGTACTTAGCAGATGGTGCAGACTGGGAATTGTGTTTTTTTTTTTTTTCTTGAGCACAAATTAAAAAAAAAATAAAACCTCATCCAAGCTCATTTTTTGTCTGCACTCTCAATAAACCCAAGCTTGGTTCTGTATATAACAGAACTCGTGGTGTAAGAGCATCAGTTTGTTAGAAATGTTGGGGATCTGCCTCCCTTCTGTGTGGAAACAACATTAAAACAGAAATTACACATTTACACTTGTAAAGATTCAGTTTTATGGTCAGTTATGGGATGCAACAGGACGCAGATGAAGACGGTCTAATGGTTCTACTGTAAGAGTTTCCAAAGCACGTTTTTTTAGTCTCACAGTGTTTCAGTGTCTGTTAATGTCTCATGAACCTTCCTCTGAGCTTTGACTGAAAACTTTACTTTGTAGCTGGATTTGAAACAGACAGAAAGAAAAGAGACATTTTGTGTTTTGAAACCGACACCAGATTCATCAAACTGAGCACACGAGCACCTGGAGGATGACTCGGTCATTTGCTCTTTACTCTGTGGACTCATGGCTGGTCAGTGCAAACCACCTACAGTAACATAACTGATCCACACAAGTGGCTCATTAGCAAGAAGAAGCATGTCAGAATCCCTCCCCCCGCCTGACCTCCATCTTTATCACCTGTACCTGGAAGATGTTTGAAAACATCCTGACAACAAACATCACGTCCAGGATGGAGATGTGCAGAGCGTCGGTGAGGACGAGTCTGCAACAGGTGGTTGGCGTGACTGACAGTCATCAAAGTGTCTCTCCAGCATGGAGACCATTTGAAGAAGATACTGAGGATTCAATGTATCAATATAGAAGATCCTGTCCATGCCATCTTGTCTAACCCTGAATGTAAACTTGTTTCAAGTACAAAAAAGTGAATAAATAAATAAATATTGATGTGGCTGACTGAGATTTTTGTTAATTTAAAGTTATTTTGTTTGTCTGAATTATGCCTCTCTTTAGCATTTATGCTAAAATTCTGTTCAAGTGTGTAACCAGTAGACAAACCAGACAAAAACCATTTACACCTCCCACAGTTAGAAGTATGAGCATATTGACTGTAGCACTGTGTGCATCACAAATCATCTGAAGGCAGAGACGGGGTCTGATGTTGGACTACAGGAAACTGCAGCTTTGGACAGGAAGCTGACACACTGCTGACTCAGCACACTCGTCTTTGTCCAATGTTCATTTAGAGCAGAACAAACGAAACTCGAATGTCTGGATTGAAAAACCACAAACTCACTCTGAGAGTACAAATCCAGCTCTAATCTTATAATGACCCACTTGTGCTTGCCTTTTTATTTCTTTATTTAACTAACAGCAAGCATAGCATCACCTAATAAGCAACTTAAAAGTTCATTTCTTACTTATGTATGTATATATGTATGTAT